ATAAATTTCATATAACCAAATACATCCGTGTAGAATGTGAAATTTTTTTTTTAAATATGTATTAATTTAGACAACAAAGATATTTTCATATTTTATCTTTATTTAGATGAAATTTAAAATCTGTTTATTTATCTGTACTCCTAATTTTTTGCAAAGTTATTTGTATCTTATCTCTAAATTATATACCTACATATATTTTCAGTTGATGTTTTTTGCTTTTGACACTGATCATTGACCTTGTCCTGCATCAGAATCGATAGTGAAATTGAAATTGAAGTATTGGCTGAGGTTAAACGATTGRGGGATTTAATWTTGGTATTGGTTAAATTGACTTTGTTTGAGAAATTGAAACTGATATTGACTTAATTAGCTTAGCATAAAATTTGTGTAGGATGGGAATTTGTTAAAAGAAGCGTTTCYTTTTCTACTCGCTATGGATGGATGAACTTCATTTCTGATGATTTGGGTATCTAGAAGTGATCACTAGCTGAAATKATATTTTGATAATCGTAGCTATATATATTTTATGCAATAAATTAAAAATCAGAAAATTTTATCTACAATTTTAATGTACTTGTACTAAAATCAAAATTGTATCGAGTAATTTTTGAGTTATTTAACAAAGCATAATTACTTTCYATGAAAATATGTTTAAAATATATGGAGACTATTATGACAATATTATAACCGTAGTGACTATTATGTTTATCAGTTTATCATCAATTTTTATAAAAAACATTACAACTAAATTTTATATTTTGWAAACTGTACAAKTATAATATAATTACTTGACTTAGTATAAATGAAAATCGTTAAATTATAAATTTACACTCCAGATCCAACATTTTAACCACAATTCTAAACATAGTATTACAAAAAATGTTCTATTATTTTTAAATGTCTACCATCCATAAATATAATTTAAACATATTTTACAGAAAACTGAAAACTTACTATCAAGTGAGAAAATATAATATAATMAATTAATAATGAATTTTAGCTTTATTGAGATGGATCTACAAAAGAAGTATGAAAAAAACTTAAATTCAGACGATTATTTAAATATTGTAGTACCTACTACTTAACTATACACGAATAATTAATATAATACTTCAAAATTAAAATATTATATAATATTAAAATTATATTATTATATCAATCGTTAATCTTTGTATCTAAATTGCTTATACGAGTACGTTATGCCATACAACGTTTTGAATGTTAAGAAAATGTAAAAACAGGCATTATTATTTTTGTCACCATTAATTATTGTTACTACTTTACGAGCARTGGCCGTTTCTGAGGGAAATATGTAGTTTGTTTAAATCGATATTTTACTTTTTAAAACTAAACGTCATCAAAATTTGAACTTCAAACGTACCCAAAGAATCATAGACGACATAGGTTTACGTTAAACTGTTATTTGTCCCATTAAAAACAGTTTACTAAGAATCTTGAAATACATTTTCAAGTTTTTTTATTATAGTTAAATTTTAAAAGTTAAATACTTTTTTAAATGTTTATCCTTTTTACGAATTGTGTACACATTATAACTTACTGTAAACCCTTGAGAAAATTTGTAATATGTTTTCGATATTACCATCGAATTTATTAAGAATAYTAAAAACAACATTTTACTAATGCTATTATATACCTAGTCTCTACAACTATTCATTTTTGRATGAGAAAAAAATTGTTTTGCATAAATATTTCCGTTTTTCCTAGAATATTATTTTTTCTGTGACATTTTAGAATTCTAAGAAAATTTATTTTTTACTTTTTCCAAAGTAAAAATAGATATAATTTTTACTAAAAACTACCAACATTGTTAAATATTGTAACAATAAAAATGATTTTACACCTCCAAAAGGTATAACACAGAAAATGCACATTGACGAATATATTATACATACTAGTTGTAAAACATACTTTTTATTGCTCTGCTAGGGATCTAAAATACAAATAACTAATWACCTTTTTGTAGAATTTAAAATATTTAAATTTCTTTATAAAATAATATAGATAATTCTAGATAGAACATACGTAGAGGATATTTTACCATTTTAAAAATGAAATTCAAATGTGTTTATTATTTGTTTAAAATACTTTTTTATACAATTATCTTGATCTTATCAATATAATATATTTTATGTATTCTGGGCTTGACACAACTCATCGACTTTGAAAAGTATCGGATGCACCAGTGAAATTAAAATTCAAGTATTGACCAGAGTTCATCAATTGAGAAATTTGTTTTTGATGTTAAGTAAATTAAATTGATTTGGGTAGGTATTTTTGGTATCGACTTGACAWGTAATTTATGAAGATGGAAGTCCAAGCAAAGAAGTACTTCTCTAACTGCTATGGAAGGATGTAGCTYAGTCTTTTGCTTCGGGTCCAGCTGGGGTCTCCACCACATTTGATGTTAATAAATCTGGCTGATATTCCGATGAATTTGGCTGATTTGATGTTGAAAAATCTAGATTATTTGGTGGCGATGAATTTTGTGGTGTAGAGCCGCCTCCATAAAATTGGCTAAAAAATTCTTTGATTTTAGTGGCTCTACCTTCTTCTTCATCATTAGYTTTTCTAACAAGCCGATGAGTTGGTTTACCTAGGAAAAAAATTCAAAAATGTAAAGTTGATGAAGTTCTTAAATTAATACTTATAAAATGATAACAAAAGCAAGGAAGTTTTATATTTGCATTTTGTTTCTTGTTAAATGTATGGTGTACTAAGTAGAAAATAACATTCACATTTTTAATTATAAAATAATAATCTTAAATAAACCTTTTTAGTAGGAACCTAATATATACCTACCATATAATGGAAAATAACATTAAAATATTTACCTATTTAATATCAAGAGTATTATTTATTATTATTATTATTGACAATACAAATTATTATATAATGTGTATTATTCATTAATCAATTAATCATTATTATAAGTATTATCAATTTACTACTGTAAATATTTTACAAGGGACTCAGTTTACCTAAAAATATTTAATTAAGACTCAATTTCCCAAGTCCGTAATGATGATACGTATTATTGAGTTGTAGGTTATCTTTTTTTAGCTTTACTAACCTACATAATATTTGATATTGTTTGATGCATGCTTGCATGTTTTTAAATAATGAGATTTTAGAGCATTTAAAACATTATTCTAGTTATTATTTATTATTATTATTATTGTTATAATTAATCAATTTTTGAATGTATAAATCACAATATTAACTATCAGAGCACTGAAATAAGTTTTAGTGGAACTTATTTTATTTTTTGTGAATTTAACGAAATTTAAAATAGAACACACTAAAAATCGCAGTCTATAATTAGGATTAAATTAAGGTTTTTGTACTTAATTTTAGTAATTGTGAAATTTCTACAAAATTAGATGTTACWACAATACTGGCTTTTAAACTATGTAAGACAACATGTAATAATAAAAACGTTGTACACATTAATTCAGACATTCGGGACTCGGGGGGACTTAATTACAGTATTAGTTATACATGGGAGGGTCTCTAATAGATAAGTATGTGTAGCTGTAAATTTGAGCATCACTAGTGGTTTTTATCAATAAGAATATTCATTCGGTATATTAATCTAATATTATTTRTATACTTTAATTAGCAGGTTCTGCTTTACTGTATGATTTGAAAACGTTTGTTGATACATCAATATTCTATGGATTGTTCGAGTTACAAAATCACAAGATCAATAAAAAAAATTTTTTTCGATTATCTGAGTGTCTAATTTATATAGAAATACTTATATGTAGGGTTAGGATGTTTATGACCTTAAAAACACTAAAAAATGCATGCAAATATGCACGAAAAATATCAAAATATGCCCTTAAAAAAAATTAAACATGTCATAAAACTTTATTTCTGATCCAAAATGTATTTTAAATTAATTTATAACTTTTAACTTAAAAACAAATATATAAAAATATGATATTTTGAAATTAAAAACATGGGTACTTAAATCAATTAATAAATTAATTACTATWTACAGTAAATTAATATTTAATTTTGTTTTTACTYAACAAACACAAATAGGTATACATACAAATGCGTAGATTTATKGTCACTGCTTTCTATTGTGTTACTTTTGATGCAATTCTATAATGATTTTATAATAKAAGTTATTTTGTCCTATCGACACACTATCGCAATCATCGGTAAACATGATTAATAAACGTAGAGTTAAAATTAAGATAAGTAAGTAATATACATAAGTTAATTATGAACAACGGGTTTCATATTTTCTCATTTTCGTTAAATTTGAAACCGACTGTGCCTACCTTTGGGTTTTTATTGAGGTTTATATTGTATTTAAGTTATTTTTTGGCTAAATATGAATTCATTCATAAAAATGCCGAAATATGCAAAAATATACAAAATAAAATTGAATGTATCTGATTCTATGTCGCAGAAAACGAATTTATAACTTGGTCTGCAATGTGCACGACTAAAAGAAAAAAAAATATGCAAAAATCATAAACATCCTAACCCTACTTATATGGTATGTAACGATTAGTATAATACATTTATTTCATTAAATATTAATCTTAATGGAACAGTATATACTATAATATTATTCGGTTAATAAAATATAATATCATTGTGTGATATAATACTTACAGTGGAAAAGCTGAAAAAGTGTCACAACTGTGAACAATACGATTACAGTTTTTACGTTCATATTGAATTGCTGGTACGAAATTGGAAAAAAACCGTTTTTTATAATAGTTATATTATATAGGTACGATGAGCTTCGGATAAATGATACGAAAAATTATATTGAATCACATACAGACGACTGGTGTTCGGTGACCAATATCATTAAGGATTTATAGAGCTGGGAACGTTTACGCCCCTTCGTGAAAAATTTACATACCTTTCGGTTGACCGACACGATTAACAATACACAATAAAATTGCCAAAATAGATAAACGTTGTGTCTGTCATATTTGCATTCGATCCCCTTGGCCGGTTACCGAGGCGTAAGGTAAAAAAGTTTGTCCTCTATTCGTCTTTGTGATCGTGCGTGTTTCATTATAGATCACCAAAGCCATTTACATGCCTAGGAAAGTAGGAATAATAACTACAAATTGGGGTGATTAGACAAACCCACCGGAAGTGCCTACGTTAGTTAAATTATCAAATACCTCCAACTAACTGCAGCATGTYAGTCTTTCATCTCACCATTACGTATGTTCTGCGCAGAACTGTTCTGTGTGGCAGCGTTGAATTTAAGACCTAAAATGTTCATCGCATTTGATTCCGTGCTGATCAGTKGTTTGCGTTTGTTCGAATTTCAAAAACGCTTATCTATACAGCGTATTAACACAAATGTATGATATTGTTGGCCAATTAAAAACCAACGGATAAATTGACAAAGTATCTACCCTTTAGAATTTTYAATTAATACGAAATCCAATTGATTAATAATAATCGACTACTCCATCTGAATGAAAATATCATTGTTTGCATAATATTAGTAAAATGTAATTCACTTTCCAACGCATAAGCTACCTAGTAAAAATATTATTAGTTYATCCAGTTTTAAATTTAGCTTTATAAAAAAACCATTTAATTCACAATTTTTAAATTTGGAATCATGATTTACATATTATTTACTTATTATTAAAAATGTACAGGTCAGTAAACTAGTCATATTTAGTTAAGTTAAAAATCATGATCAACGATATAAAATATGATTCTTAACAGTACTGGGCTTGGTTAGAGTTACATTTTCTGGCATTGCTTCAAAAAATGGCCTACTACTGCAATCTGCAGACTTCTGAGGAAAAAAAATAATAAGTTTCTTAAATAGGTAGTATAATTTCTATATATTTGAACTCAATACATAAGCAAAATAGATATTGAATAATATGAATCAAATGTTGTCCTTTGGTATTAGATAAAATTTTAAAACAGCATAATTATAATGACATATACAATAAAAGATGGTATTGTGTTTTTAGTGAAGTTTTTACGAAAACATATGAATGAATTCAATCGCCTTGATCAACATAGTTAGCATCAACCTTCGCAAAAGTTTTCGACGATATACGAACAACTACACGAGTTAGGCCGATAGGTCTCCTCTGGCTGCTCTGGACAACCATCTGTGGTAATCGGTTCTGCGGTTGTYGATGATCCCGKTTGTGGTACTGTTGTTTCCGACACTGCAGGTTTCACTGGATTCGTATACCCGGAATTTGACTCTGCAGAATTATATGGCCCACCAAYACCAGAAACGGATTGTATTACTTCCATTACTTTGTCCACTGTTGGTTTGATTACGTTCATCCTCCCATCATCTACTTCGGTACCTATACTTATACAGAATAATATTTTATAGTTAAATTGTTTAAGTGTCGACTTCAGTGGAGAAATTAAGGGGCGATGAGGTAAAAAAATTAAAATAAATTATTTTACCGTCATTCAACATTTTTCGAAAATGCAAGTCGACTTTGTGATGTATTTAAATAAAGTAAAAACATAAATAATTATCAATATTAATATAAGTTAGTAAATTAGATTTAAAAATAGATCATTATAATTGACAGTCTTACGTCATGTATAACAGATATCACTTATTGACGTCACATAGTCTGAATAAATAATCAAATATTTTTTTTTATTTAAAATTTTATAAAATAATCAAATTGTTTAAGTACTTTAAGCACAGATAGTATTATTATGGTTGGTAGGTTACATTATGAGCAACCCACCCACATCACCCATTCAATAATTTATCAGAAATATTCAAATTTAAATGGAGACATTTTTATAATCTATATTATAATATGATACAAAAGTTTAGAGATTTTAGAAAAAATTAGAGATTTTATTTAATTGTGTTAAAAAAAAATACTAGATACCTACTTATTTAAATCCAGCGCATAGGCAGATGTCCTACGTTTATCAAGTTAGTTCACAAAGGGAGGTA